CACCCACAATAGATGAGACATTAAAAATATATACTCTATAACCAAATATTAGCCTACATCAATGAACTTCGTTATAATTTCAATTTTTACTGACAGTGTCGCAATATTCATCGGAATAGTGACGCATGAATTTTCTGTAGAACGGTATGATTTTTTTTTAAAGTTAACGTTCTATAGCATTTATTAAGTAGGTGTACAACAAAGTTTATCCTTCGTGACCGTGTTTTGAAATGTGAATAAACAAAGTCCGTTATTGGACTGGCGGTATCGAGTTGAGGTATAGATGAGATCAATAGCCTTTGACGGGCGCAGTTAGTATATATGCTTTATTTTCGCTGTTGTTTGTACACATAAGTTATTTATTCTTTATGTCATTAAAATTAAAATGTTAAATTATTATTCAATAAAATATAAAATTTATAAAAAATAGTTTTATAAATGTATTTATGATTGTCATTGTCACTACAAATACATTTGTAGTAACAATAAAAATATATATTTCGCGTAGGAAACTGATGAAAAAAAACAGTAATAAGTACCAGGTGCGCATAAGGTCACAGGCGGTAAGGACGGACGGGTAATGACCGGGCACCGCTACGCTACGCGCCAGTTTTGGGGGTCGTCGACCGACGCGACGGCCGAACGTCCTGGGATTGCCTTCTACGTCACTATGGTACCCTGGTACAGATCTTTTAGGAGCTAATCAATCTATTAATTTTATTATCTTTTTAACGTTTAAAAGAATATAAAATAGTAAAAATTTACGCTGTAGGTAACGGAATTGGAAGATCGAAAACGTGATATGAGTGGATGATATGACGCGCGTAAAAACAAATTAATCGTAGTACAAAAACACCAGTATCATAGAAAAATGAGAAACAAATAATATTTTTATTCACAAAATAAATTCAACAAACAGTTGACCAGTGAGCGAGCACTATAAGCAAACACGTTATAAAAAAATATACGAGGTTGTTACGTCGCAATGGAAGTACAATGTATAAACAAAACAATTCTATAAACTACAGAAAACTGTTACATATAATAACTTGAAAAACGTCAAGAAGCAATGATAATGGCGGTCGACAAACAACAATAATAATTACTTTACTAGTAATGACGTCTGCGTGTTAAAATCAAAGCGTATAATGACGTTTTAGTTGATATATCCGATTTGCATCACAAATAGTGACGTTTGTAACGAACGCTTTACGTAATACGCGACAATGTGTACAATTGTAAGACGGTATTGCATTGCATAACAACGAACTGATAACTTCTAAACCGATGCAAAATTATAACGTATTCAATGAATATTTTGTGTTGATAGCTTTTTTCCTATTATATCTGCTACAGCGAAAAGTGAATTTTGGTGTTATTCTATACGCTAGGGATACAGCGATATATTTAAATACCAATATTGATATCGAATAACAGCGATAAGGTTTTTACAAACAAGATTTTTGAATTTATTTAAGATCTAAAAAATATATCGGTAAATATCGTTATACCGACTACGTGAAGCGATATATCGATATCGGCTGTAACCGATATATATATATCGAAGTCGATATATCGATATATTTATGAAACTTGCATCTCTACTCCCCGCTTCCTCCACAAGGGCTCTAAAGTGAATTGTAGAATAGATTCTTGAATTTCTACTAATCGCACTTTAAAAACTAAATTATTTTAATCATTATAATGATAACTGGTAACCCATGCGTAGTTCAGGCCCATTTGACATAAAAAAAAGCAATGACGTCACCACTTTCACTTGCCACCTGTTAAACATTGTTAACAGTGAACAGATTCAACACTAATATCACCGTACAACATGTGTTTGTTGTCAACATAATGGAACACTAACAAACAAACAGATAGATATCATATTACTGCCGTTAGCTGTTGATTATAAACGAATGCAGGTTATTACTTATTCATTTCTAAATTAATGAAATTTGTTAGTGCACGCCTAAATCGCAGTATTTGTTATAATAATATCACAAGCATTAAAAGAGATGTGACGTCACATATTGAAAGTGTCAATAAATAATAATTTAACAATTCACTTATACAAGTTTAGAATCAAGGACGGAGTATATCCTTAAATAAATAAAACATATCCAGTAGTTGATAGTGTTTCGTTATACACATGTAATTGATCCTTTTCTTTCACCACAGAGAGTACAGCCCTCGGACTCTAATGTCAGCGAATCGAATAATCTAACGCCATGTTAATTGAATGTAAATTTAAAAACGATACTAATAATATTATATATGTGCAGTTAGAAGTGAATTGGGCGACGAATTCGAATCTTTGATAACAGAGAGTAGTAATTGCAGTAAAATAGAGATGTATCGGACATCCGAATGTGGAATGGCAAGGAGGTTATTTAAATAGTAGTGGTGGACTACGAGCAACGACGTCCGAACTATCGACCTTTAACCAAAGTAAAAAAAAACATAGAAAAATGCCATTTGCATTAAGTGTACTGAAACGATTCCTAGTATAAACGCGTCAGGCCGCGGTTCCGCGTGGGTACCGTGCACCACCACGTTGTACTCAGACCGTTATGCAAGTTCGTTCGACTGAAAAAGCACATATGAGTATACTACATAATTGCCAATCTAAAGGTTAACGTGAAATGAGTGCATTTTGTGACGCTAGCCATATGGAACGGGAACTCAAACAATAAATAATAATAAAGTTAAATGCACATACTAATGATAGCACGTAAAAAAATATAAATTATTCGATAATTTTGTTTGACCAACTAACTAGTTATACATCGTGTCTCTCTACGCACATTGTTTTGGTAAAATCGACCAGAACTGACGTCATTGATACAAAAAAATTTCAAATTATTCACTCCGGTTTCGACACGTATATAAACAGCAACATCGGAATCAATGACAACGAAATATTGCTTTGGAGTTGTTTTAATTTTACAACGTGCAGCTTCAAAGGGCAGCTTCTGAGAATTCCCCTCCAGAAGTTTTCAACTTTCCACAATTTGTTTTCCGGAAATTTCGCAAGCCTATGTTATTTATATTAAAATTTTGCAGGAATATCCTGTTACGGTAATAAATTGCGCAATAGCCGCTCCATTCACGTGGCCGATTAGCGCTAATTGAAATATCAAAAGATTTCTCTACGTGGAATTCTTAATTTACTTATCGACGTGTTGTCACCACGATTTTGAATGCAAACCACTACTGTATTACGATTGGATGGTCTAGAGAGGCGAACGTGTGCTGTAGCATGTGTACATACATGCAGTGGGGAGGTCTATCAGTGTAGGATGGTGTAGGCTATTGACGAGCTCTCTTGGAAGTCGAAACCTATATCATAGATGCGTTAATGTACCGCGGGACGCCAAGAAGGTCAGACTGAAATTAAGCAGGAGGTTTAGATTACTGGGCCCTCGTAACCCACTAGGCACAACGTGGATGTCAATACCGGCAACATGACCTTCGTACAGTTAGTTTAAATCCGATGTAGAGTCGAGCTCCTTACTTTACACAATCTACACCTCAGCCAAAAATTGTGGCTCGATCGTTATGATATTGTCATATTAGCGCGAGTTTACTACTGTACCGAGCAACAATACGCTAAGCATCACCAAAAACCCTTCTTTCGGTCACCCATCCGTACACCGATAGCAGCGGAAGTCGTCTAATCGAACAACATAATACGATTGCAGCAGCACCAATAAGTGTAACCTTGTGTTATACCGCATCATAACCAGTTAACTCGGGTGACCATCGGGCGTGTTATTAATCGGACCGGTCGCAATGTAAAGTGGGACGCTGACAACGGGAATGGTTGGTACTCGAAACCTCATTCACAACACGGACGCCTCCAGCACATATGCTAAAGATAACGTTTTATCTGATTAAGGCAAAAACATCTTATTACTGTAGACTGTATTTTAAATATAGTCATTAAGGATAAGGAAACAAAATAGTTAAATATAATATAATGATGTGGTCATGTTAGATGATTATCACTAATAGAGCATCGCGGTGCCATTTTATTGTGTCGAGACGTTAATGCAATAAGGTTGGCTATATTTCTTTCTCGTGCAATACCGAACCTAACAAAAATAGTAAAGACAAATAAAACCCGTGAAGCGAGTCCCTGCTAGTTAATCCACCATCTACACCAGTAACTGAAGAAAATGATTTAATATTCACCTAGGTATATACTATACGATTCCATGTGGTGCGCTAATTATAAGAGTTAATTAGACAATTAACAAATCATCACCCGGCCGACAGTACGGGAGGGAGCAGTGACCGGCCGCACTCACGGAAGTGCACTCCTGCGCACCGAGCGCCGCCGCCGCCGCAACTTATGGGAATAGAGGTTTTATGTGTAACGGGTCAACATAGCCACATACATCCATACTCTCCCAGGTTTTAATATCAATATTTACACGCTAATAGATAAAAAAAAAAAAACTATTATTTCGTTTTTATTATCGATTATCTTCGGTTCCTTTTTATATTAGTAGTTTAAAAAAATTAAAAAAATTTTGACGATAATTTTATGGACACAAACTATATTACATTAGTTTAAATCGTGTTATGTCCTAAGATTCAAATATGATCGATCACAGAATACCGATCGACTAAAACCAAATAAAAACGGTCATTTTTTAAAATTGCGAATACAATTGGAAAGCGTTTAAATGAAAGTTATATTTGTTTTACTAATACGTATGGCGAATTCCGGAAGTCCATCTCTTAACAAATCTCACGCTCATATAAAATATATATAGATATTTAAAATCACACCCATTCAAAACAAAGCGTTTAAAAATACCATCATGATAAAAATTAATAAATATTAGAGCATTATGGAGTTTTAGAATAAAACCATAAGGTCCACATTCGCTTGGCTACACTACCGTGACATCGTTGTCAACATTAGGCCAGATTGATTAATAAATTGGCCAAAGAGGTACATAGTTACATTAAAATTGATCACTCACCTCCCGTGCCGAGGACTTTGAGCAAGTCGAAATGTGATATGTCCACTTTTGAAGCTCCGTTAAGATTAACTGTAAAAATAAAAAAAGAAATGCGTTAACACGTCGGATTGGCACATTATAATATAGCTACAGGGCTGCTACCGTGCAGGTACCTTATATTTCGAGTAACAGGTAGGTACTCCGTGATAATGGCGCTCGTAACACCGCCGAATATCGGGAACTCGAGATATATAAAGGTAGCAACCCCGTATTTCACAATCATTGGTGTTACTAGGTTTTTCCAATTATTTTTCATCTTGTACATTCTATACCATGTTCAATCACAAATAAATTATTTATTATATTCATTCTAATAAAAGAAGTAATATTAGTTTGTATTATTTGAGTTCATGGTAGTCCCATGTGGTATGTAACTTATGAACTTTAATAAAGACTAATTTCTATAAATAGATTGCCATAAAACTATTGGAATGTTACTTATTTATAACAAATAAAACCGCCATAAGATCATTACATTTTTGTGAATAAGTAAACCCGCTTCTAACTAATTAGCGAGCAATGTTACAAATAATTTCTCACATAAAGCAGCAATTCTAACTATTAGGCCAACTTTACAGATTCGATTATAACCTGCTTGGGTATGTGCGCTAGTGAAATGAATACCACAAGGCTACACGAATTGTATCGATAACCCAGTCACCTTATTCATCAATGTTAGCTCCGTTTAATTACATTCAATAATACTAAAGAAATTTTAGCGTCAATACGAAATAGGTCAATCTATGGTTCAATCAATAGGTAAGTTTCAATAAATTAATGTGAATAGAGATTTTTGTGATAAAATCGATCGTGTCTAAGGTATTGTTTGAAAATTACGAAAATAGGAAAATTATCAAAAATACACAATATAAAATATTGTAAAATATAAGTAGTACATCAGGTTACTTGAAGCGACCGAACTTCTCCAGTAGACTTCAAGCGATTTCAAGTTTATCAGTAGACAGTTTTAAGCTCAATATTACACGATGATACGATATTGATTACACGATGCACGTGCGTGCGTGCGTGCGTGGGTGTGTGTGTGTGCACATAAAATAATGAAATGTCTTTTGATAATACCGTGATGAACGCGGACTGTATCTCTCAGGAGGGCACGGCATCATTCCTGGATGGGCCGAATGACACGATGTTATCTGATATGGCTCTATTAATAATTATGTTTATTGATATATTTAAAAGATTATAGTCGATAAAGGGGGAAAGATTATCTGATAGGTCAGGTTTGTTTACAAGTACTTTATAAACAAAAAATCAATCTACACAATATAGGTATTACAAGAGAGATTCCTCTTGACGGGTTTCAATTTATATCGACTGTTTTATTACTACAACTAGTTTTAGCCCGCAGCGACCATTAAGTACTTACCAATGGGCCCTAAAATGGCCTATACAATACAATCTCTCTCACCGATCGCGTTATCAAAACCTAAACACTATGTACTATGAGTATTTTCGTTGCACACCTCTCATACTATCCGTAGAAGTTCCATAATTAATAAAAATTACAAACTCTTATTCGTAAATCATCTTTCCAAAGATAAATACTACATAGATTAGTGTTGTAGATAAAAAAATACCATTTCGCAAATCGCAACGCTGATAATGATAACACATCGTCCAACAAAACAACTTTAAACGACTCGGTCAATGACATTTACCGTAGAATACTGTGCGTGAATTTAATGCGGATCATTATACATTGGCATAGGTACGTATTTGTGTTTATTCATGTTTTGCACTTGCGTTGCGACGCTATTTTTATATATAAACACCGATGTTTGCCTGTGAACTGTACCTACAACTAATTAATACACGCCAGGTAGTGCGCTGTACAAAGAAGTCAAGCTATTGTGAAGTGAGATTCACATGAACAATGTTTTTTTTTAAATAGAAACGTTAATTTTTTAATTAATTGTAATAACTGGCTCGAGAGGAAAATAATTGGTCTAAATACTTTGTTAAAAAAAATATTGATAAATTGCAAATGTTATATTTTATAAAATTTGCATTGACAATGCTCTATTGATATTTATGTTAAAGAAAAACAAAGAAATAAGCTTTAAAATTCTCCAGTTCTTCAGTGCCACAGATGGAAGATTATTCAACTGGTGAATTTTGTTCAAGCATGTTCTTTAAAATGTATATTTCACCTTACCTTTATAAAAACATAGGTTTTTATCATCTACATTCATGTGAAGACATTTTCATATAGATATTCTTATAATGAAAATGGAAAATATTTATTTCCAGAAATCATTACAAACATACAAGCACAGACCCCACGCTAGGCGATGCCTGGCCTGGGGAGGAACTAACATTTTTCGGTATAATGTAGAATGCTGTTTAGAGATATGTACGTATAACAATTTTATTTGTGTGTGTTGTGTTATGTATGTACGTGTGACATTATAAGTGAGTTATTATTATCCTTTATTTTATACTACCACCTGTGAGCCCTAGGGAATTGTTGAAATTAAATGAAATGAAAATGTTTTTATTCAAGTAAGCTTGTTACTAGCACTTTTGAATCGTCCAAAAATATTTTTTCCCCTACCACTTGTTCAGGACGTCTTTTAGCTGACAAGAAGAACAAGCGAAAGAAATTATAAAAAGCTGGTAAGTTTCTTTCGCTTGTTCTTCTTGTCAGCTAAAAGACGTCCTGAACAAGTGGTAGGGGAAAAAATATTTTTGGACATTTACATAAATCATGTCATTGTCTGTAGGACATAGGTTGGTACATACCTATAATTAATCGTTATAGAACATAGCGAAGGCTATTAATTAGATGCATTGCGGTCCTTAAAATAATCATCAACTTTATAATAGCCTCTACTCATAAGTATGTTCTTTACATGAATTTAAATTTATTTATGGGTAGGTCAATTACATTTTGTGGAACTTTATTGAACATAGCAATACATTTACCCAGAAATGATCCTCTGGTTTTTTGAAGTCTGAAGCTTGGAACGGCAAGTTTATTTTGTTTATTTGGATATCGGTTCATATCTTGACCCGGATATAATTACAATGAAAAATTGAATAGTAAAGAATTGTTACTACGGCCACGTTTTAATTCCCCATACAAACTTATGTATTCATTTTAATTTAACTAACTTATGTAGCATACGCAGTATTAAGTGAAGTGTGTATGTGTTCATGGTTTCGCGTGCATCTCCCGTACATGTGGTATTGGCACCAAGCATTCCGTACTGGGTCCACGCGTATGTCCCAATGCGGATTGATGGTGCTAAAGCACAGATATTCTTAATGGACCCCAAATACGCCGGCCACTAGGGCGGAGGATTACCGATTAATAGGGATACCGCGTGATGGTCCAAAAATAATTTGGCCACCCATCCGCTCAAACGCGCTAGCCACTAACATAATAAATGTCGATATTTATGATAATGTGGTTGTCTCAAAGTTAATGAGATACCTATGGGTATATATTATTGCACTTTGTCCGTTTACCAAGTAAATCTATGGTTATATTTTGTGGCAACTTATGGTGTACATGTCGCAGCCAAGTTGTTAAATCAGCCGTCTAATTGGGTGGCTAACGCTTTAATTGAACTACAAGACGAGTGAACAAAGGTCAGCCAAATGATTAATTGTCAATTCATCGGGAATACCAAAATTTATAGGTTGGATTAGAAAAAAAAACATAAGTGTAGTTTGGGTGATTTTTAATAATAAGTACTCAAATACTCCTTGTTGAGATTTGAAATCGATACGACTGGGTGTTAACGGCCGTACGATCCAATACAGGATACTAACATTCACACCAATAACACAAGTGGGTTAAGGGGTAAGCAATGTATTAGACTGCGATTGCTTTAGTGAGGTTTATGACAATTTCGAAGTTTGGTGCTGTATTAGTTAATAACAACAAAAAAATCATAAGCCACGCAGTTATTTTGGTGCTGCAGGTCACGTGATATTCGTGATGTTCGAGGTTATTATTTTAACAGATAACAAAACTAAACGAACGTTTTGGCGGCGTTCAGCCGTCTTGTCGAATGGTCCAAATATTATAATGATTTAATTAGAAAACTAAGCGTGTAATAGAATGTTGCCATTCAATTAAATAGCTAACCGTCCAATTGGACGGACGGCTGATCTAACCAGTTGGTTGCGACATCAATATATCTTTGAGTTTGACTGAACCAACTTTTGCGCTAACGTTAATATTATATTAATATGTAATTGGTGGAAATTACTACGCTAATGAATACGGAAGTAAAAAGTCTACAGATCTAGAGACCGTGTGGTGTAGGAAGCACGAGAAATGACGAAACTGAAGAGTGACATTTGTAAAAGTTGCTTACATATTTGAGGGAGACACCTCAACCAGACAAATAGACGGGCGATAACGTATTGCGCACTATAAAGCCGCAAAATTAATTTTGATTAAACATAAAAACGGTTACACTTATTGTAATACCGTTCGTATCTGGACTTAAAGGGCATATTTATCCAATTTTTACTATAAAAAGAAATAATTAAGTGGAAAAACTGAATTCGTATTTCTTTTATTGAGATAATTTTGTAAATTTACTTCTATGTTATCATACAGTCTTCACATTTGGTTTAATTATGTTTTGATCATAATAAATTTGGTATGAGTTTAACTGCCCTCAACGAGACTTTTGCTCTCCTGTGCAACTTTCCGATTACCGATCAGAAAATATCCTTTGTGAAAGTTGCCTAACTTGTTCACTCGTCGTGACGCCATCAAGTCCACGCAAAAATATTCCCCCTTCCAATGGCACTGTATCCATTTTGATATAGAACGACCGGGGATTACCCAAAAACGTATTCTCCAGCAACGCTTCGGTCTGACCGTAGTGGATACAAGATAAACGACATAAATACATATTTCTCTATATTATGGTAAAAAATTGCAGTTTTAAATAAAGTACCTCTAGTCTACTGTTTATGGCAAAGGTTACCCATCACAAAGGCAGCTAGAACGCAACGAAAGTGACCGAGAATATGGTACACATGAT